TCGGCACGCCCTTGACGCCCTCTCTGCCATGCTGCACTGCAGCTCCCCGTACGCCTGCAGTTTGCTGCTGCAGCAGAACCCGCCGGGCCAGCTCCTTCAAAAAAGCTCGATGCAGCTGCCTGCGAGCTCGCGGCTGCAGCACCAGCAGCGGCTGCTGCTGCTGCTGCTGTCGAGGAAAGGAAAGCAGTGCGCCCAGGTCGAAGGCGCTGCACAGTAGCGCTGTCATGTGTTTCCCTGAAAGCAGCCTTAGCTGCTGTTGCACCTAAACCGCAGCAGCAACAGCAGCAGCATCAGCAGCAGCAGAGGCAGATGCAGCAGTTTGTGCCTACTGCCGTCGCTTAAGGCCCCCGCGAATGCAACAAACAACAGGAAGCTGGCGCGGAGCTGGCAGCAGCACTGCAGCACGAACAGCAAAGCACCTCTAGCAGCAGCTGCTGCAGCAGCAGCACGTGGAAGACTCCGCTTGCAGCCATGGCCCACACGATCTGGCTGACGCTGTGTGGAGTGAAAAGACGGGAGCAGTCCCGCTGCAGTTGTCCCTCTCGCCCCTGCTGCTGCTGCTGCTGCTGCTGCTGCCGGACGGCAGCGTACAACTGGCGCTGCAGCTGACACAGCAGCGAAAAGCCTTCGCGCCCCAGGCCCCTGTCCGAAGGCCTGGGGCCCCCCAAAGTGGCCGGAGCTTTTGGTGCTGCTGCTGCCCGGGCCAAAAGAGCAGCAGAGTGCAGCAGCGAAGAAAGGACTCGTCTGCAGCGGACAGCCTAGGACACAAGCAGCAGCAGGCAGCAGCAGCAAGCAGCAGATGTGCAGCACTTCTCTCTGCTGCGCAGCTGGTTAGAGTGCTTGCAGCAGAGCCGGCCAAACCGACGGCGACGCGGAAGCAGCAGTGCTGCTGCTGCTGCACTAGCTAGGGCAACGGCTGCTGCAGCATCAGCAGCAGCAGCGCCTACCTGAAGTCTTCCTGCTGCTGCTGCCCAGCAGCAGTCCCTCAGCAGCAGCCCGCAGTACTGCCGCACGGCCTTCAGAAGCCACACAGCAGCAGCAGCCCTGTCTGTACCAGGACCTACAGCAGCAGCTCCTCCAGCGCCAAATGAAGTGAAAATTGTCGATAAAGCTGCTGCTGCAGCACCTGCAGCAGCAGGCCCCGCTGCTGTTGCCGCTGCTGTGCCGCCAGCCGCTCTTGAGTTGCTGACTTCTCCGCCAAAGCCCCCGTTTTCTTCAAGCTGCGCAAGTGCAGCTGCTGCAGCCGCTGCAGCTGCAGCTGCTGCTGCAGCAGCAGCTGGGGGTGTGTCGGCTGGGCGCGTCAAAGAGTCGGCATGCACGGCCAAAGCGTGAAGTGCCATGGCCCCGCTGCTCTGCAGCAGCAGCTGCTGGTGCCGCAGCAGCTGCCTGAAGGCTGCAGTCAGCAGCAGCCACTCCATGGGCCCTACCGCAGCAGCAGCAGCAGCAGCAGTGCTCCCAGCTGCTGCCCTGCTCCACGCCAGGAAGCTCCAAATAAGGAGACACTTGTCCACCGGCGTGGCCTGCTGCAGCTGCGGAGAGAACTGCAGCAGCACCGCGGGCTTCCCCTGCTGCAGCGGCTGCTGCAGCGGCTGCTGCAGCTGCTGCTGCAGCTGCCGCTGCTGCATCCCTTGCTGCCCTTGCTGCTGCTGTTGTTCCTTGCACAGCAGCTGCATCAGGGCGCGTGCATTCTGCTGCGGCAACAGCAGCACGTCCGTTGCAGTTCTAAACACTCGAAGTAGCTGCTGCTGCAGCAGCTGCTGCCCCTGCTGTCTGTACACCTGGGGCGCTGCAGTTGCAGCAGCCCACAGCAGCGCAGCCAAATCCGCAGGAGGGATGTGGGGCAGCTGCGGTTCACAGGCAGAGACAGCAGCAAGCAGCAGCTGCTGGGCTGCTGCAGCGAGGGCCCTGTTGAAGCTGCTGCTGCTGCGCGCAGCAGCAGCAGCAGCAGCTGGCGCCCCCCCAGGAACTCCTTCTGTCGCAAAAAGCACTTGCAGCCGCACTGCATCTTTTGCTGCATCTGCTATGTCTCTCCAGCTCAGCAGAGCAGTACTACTGGGGCACCACTGGTGGGGCGTTGCTGAAGCTGCACCTTTTGCTGCTGCTGCTGCTGCTGCGTCGATTCTGGAGGCGAAGCAGCGCAGCAGCAGCAGCAGCAACGTCTGCGCCTCAGGCAAAGCTGTTTCCAGCCCGGGCAGGCTACCACGAACAGCAGCTGCTGCAGCAGCTGTTGCTGCAGCAGCAGAGCTGCTTGCAGCGGCGTGGCGCTCGATTTTGCTGCTCTTGCTGCTGTTGCTTCTGCTGCTGCTGCTGCTCGCTGTACACCGCGCAAGCCGAATGACTTCTCCCCAGCAGCGCTGGCCGAAGGGACTCAGCCACAAGTGGCTGTTAGAGTCTTGCTGCTGCTGCTGCTGCTGCTGCATCTCGCTCGAAGCTTGCAAAAATCGCACAAGTGCTGCCAATAGCCTGCAGCTGCATGCAGCCCCTAGGGCTTCGAGGAGCTCTTCGCGGGGCTGCTGCTGCAGCAGCAAAGCTGCTGCTGCCTCCACAGGGGCAAAGACATACGCATGCAGCCCTTTTCGCACCAGCAAGACCTCGCCGTAAGCGCCGCCGCCTATTTGGCTGCTGCTGCTGCTGCTGCACCTGGGGCTGCTGGAGATGCTGCCGCTGTCTTCAGCCTCCACGGCAGCCCTAGCCACTACTGCCGCAGCAGCTCTGAATGCAGGAAGCTGCAGCAGCTGCTGCAGCAGCTCTCTGCACTCGCTGCTGTTAAGGAACGCAGCAACACCCCGTGCCCCTTCGTACGCAGTGGACTGCAGCGCCGGTTGTGCTGCTGCTGCTGCTGCGGCTGCTCGGGGAGAGCTGCTGACTCCCACTGCAGGAGCAGCAGCTGCTGCTGCAGCGTCCGCCACATGGAGTCTCAGCAGGTGTGGAAAGTGACACTGCGCATGCGCCGCAGTAGCTGCTGCGTCCGCTGCTGCTGCTGCTGCTGTGCCCGCTGCTGCTGCTGCTGCTGTTGCAGCGGCCCTGGCCAGAAGCTCTCGAAGCGCGGGAAGTAGCAAAGCAAACGCGCGCAGCAGCTCTACGCAGTGACGCAGGCTGGGCCCGAGCTGCTGCTGCTGAGGTGTACATACACCTGGAGGCAGGCCACGCCCCACAGCTTCCCTTAGAAGCTTCAGAATTACTGCTGGCAGCAGCAGCCCCACGCCTAGAGGCAGCCCCGCGGGTCTGAAGGCGCGCTGCTGCTGCTGCTGCTGCCGAGTCTGCGTCGTGGCAAGCTGCATCAACGCTGTGACGGCTGAGCGCGCCTCCCGGGGCGGCAGCTGCGGCTGCAGCAGCTGCAGCAGCAGCTGCTGCTGCTGTGCGTATCGAGACAGCTCGACTCCCCTCGAAGCCTCTCCTGCGGCTTTGAAGCTTTCACGTAAAGCAGCAGGGGCGGCAAGAGTAGAGCCATTTCCTGCTGCTGTTGCTGCTGCAGGTGTCGCTGCAGCAGCAAAAGACGCAGCAGCAGATGTCGTGAAGCAGCAGCACCATTCATTGAGAGCCCAGCCACTGCAAAAGAGGCCATCGCCTGCAGCCCGTTGCTGCAGACGCCGCTCGTGCTGCAGCTGCCTCAGCTGCTGTATCTGCTTGTGCAGCACCAGCCTCTGCTGCTTGGTTCTCTGCTGCTGCTGCTGCTGCTGCTGGGCTACCCCAGCAGCAGCGACTGCTGCAGACGCCATGCCACATGTGAAGCCCTGGAGGCGGGCTCGAGGCAGCAACGCAGGCGGCAGATCGGCAGCAAAAGCTCCGCAGGAACTGCAGCTGCTGCTTCTCGTGCTGCAGCCGGAAGGAGTGGATCTGCCAGGTTGATCACCCTCCTGCTGCTGCTGCTGCACCCGTAGCTGCTGCAGCCGCTGCTGCTGCTGCTGCTGCCGCGGCTGCAGCAGCGTCCAGCGCTGCTGCTGCAGCGTTCTCGCCGGTATGCAAGGCCGCAGCGAGTTCCGCCTCATAGGCAGACACAGCAGCAGCTGCCTGGTGTTGTTTGCTGCTGCCTTCATCCTGGCTAGATCCTTTCCCGCTGGAGTCTTACTTCTGACGCAGCATTGGCTGCAGCCACCCGCTGCAGCGGCAGCAGCAGCAGCACAAGCTGCTACTGCTGCTGCTGCCTCTAACCGTTCAGTTGCCTCTTGGCATTGGTGTTGCTGTTCCAGAGAACCTCTGCTGCACTGCTGCAGCTTCTGCTGCCTTCTAGTGCGAGCAGAAAAGGAGCAACGCTAAAAATTGTTCTGCTGCTTTAAGGAGAAAGTCTTAACAATTATAAAATGTTGTTTTGGGATCAGGCTAACGATCCTTCCACAGACACAAGCTGAGTGCCAGACCAGCGCAGAGCAGCAGCAGAGCAGCAGCGGCGGCAGCAAGAGCTGACTTCCTCTACCGGCTTGTGGGTGTTGCTGCAGATTTAGCAGCAAAAATCTTATTTCAAATCTGGTGAGCGTCTTGCAGCTGCAGCGCCGCTTGCTGCTGCTGCCTTTGGCTCCCTCCGGTCCGCTCCGCATGCGACCGTGTCGGCTAAGGAAAGCTGTGCAGCAGCAGCAGCAGCACCTGATATGCAAGACTTCTCGCCGCGAACTAGCGCAAATAGACCTGGAAGCCTTCGCCGGCACTAGCGCCGAAGCTGCGCTGCAGCTCTGGGGAGAGGAGACCCAGCCAAAGGAGTGAGGCTGCTACACACGCCTCCACAGCAGCAGCAGCAGCAGCAGCAGCAGCCCCAGCGGCACTCTGGGAGCCGGCATGCCACCTCAGTCTGGAGGCTCCCCAGAGTCACCTGAGGATGCAGCAGCACGTGGTGCTGCTGCCTCTCTTGCAAGCAATGAAGATTCATTAGCAGCAGAATCTGTGGACTCTGCTGCTGCTGCTGCAGCAGGGGGGAACTGCTGCTCCCTCGATGCAGCCCTGGGCCTGGGCGATGAGCCCATGGAAGAGCAACAAGCTGACTCAGAGGCGGAGAGTGAGCAGGCAGAGCAGCCGCTGCTGCTGCTGCAGCAAGAGCTGCATGCATCTAGCAGCTCGCCTTGGAGTGGCAATGCGATCAGTGCTGAGGGAACCAGCAGCACCAGCAGCAGCAGCAGCAGCAGCAAAGCGCCGGATGCTCTTAAAAAGGAAACAGATCCAGAAAAGGCAGCAGCAGAAGCAGCAGAACGAAAGGCAAGGGCTGCTTGCGTTAAGAGGGCTCAGGATCTGGAGAAGATTTGGCTCCTGGGGTGGGTAACATGGCTGCAGGGTCTCAACAGCAGTGTCATAGAAGGCCGCAGCAGCAGCAGCAGCAGCAGCAGCGCCTCAAAATGCACGCCGCTGCTGCAGGGAGCATGTCTTTCTGCGTACATTGCCTTCTGCAGCAAGGCTCAGCAGCAGCACCAGGAGCACCAGCAGCAAACAGCTGCTGCTCACAGAAGTCGCCGTTTGTTGCTGCAGCATCTGCGGCTGCTGCAGCAGCAAGTCTCACAGGCTAAAGAAGAAGCTTCGGCTTCTTCTGCAGCAGCAGCTGCAGCGGCAGCTGCAGCAGCAGCCCCCGTCGATCCATCAGGAGACGGCGCTAAGGCATCCGCACCAACTGGGGGCTCAGTGGGTGAGTCAGCAGCATCAACAGCAGCAGCGGTGGCAGCAGCACCAGGGTCTGCTGCTGCTGCTGCTGCTGCCGGCACAAAGACAGAGGGAGGCGAGTACTGCATTCCTGCTGACGGATTTGCTGCTTTTTGCTTCATCTCCAATCTTCAGCTGCTGCCGGAGAACCGTTTGTGTCACCCCTTCTTTGCAGCATCAGTACCGCATGCTGCTGCTGCTGCTGCTGCGGCGCGCAGGGCGCAGCACGCGTACCAGCAGCAGCAGCAGGCTGCTGCAGCTGCTGCTGCAGCAAGACTTTCCACTGAAGAGATCGCCGCTGCCAAATCCGCCTCAGAGGCAGCAGCTGCTGCGGTCCTCTCCAGCATGCGCCATTCTTCGCTACAGCAGCAGCGGCAGAAGCAGCAGCAGCGTGTTCCAAAGGAAGAGGATGGAGAGCACAAAGGCTCCAGCAGCAGCAGCAGCAGCGAAGGGGTGGCTCTGCTGCGGCCAGCGCTGCCCCTTGCTGCGAGCCGCCGCATGCCTTTCCCCTTTGGATTCTCTTCCGTTCTTTTCAGGGCTTTGGGAGCTTTGAATTCTGCGAAGGCCTCAAGTTCTCTTCTGGCTGTGGTGGGCGTTCTGCTGCTGCTGCTGCTGCTGCTGCTGTTGCTGCTGCTTGCAGCAGTTTAGCAGCAGCTGTTGCTGTGGACGGCCACTTTGTAGCTGCTGGTGCTGCTGAGGCCGCGGTGTTCTCTGGTACTCTCGGCAAGAGCAGTCTGTTGTTAAGTATTTGCTGCTGCATTACGTGCTGCTGCACTTGCTGCACCTCTGCTATTTTGCTGCTGCCTCCTCAATATCTGCGCAGCTGTTTGTGGCCCTCTGCCGCGCCTTGGACCTCAACGCCCGGCTGGCCGTGTTGCTGCCGCCTGCAGGTCTGCGCACTCCCAAGACGGAGCGTAAGCTTTCCTGCAGCAGCAGCAGTAGCAGCAGCAGCAGCAGCAGCAGCAGCAGCAAAAGTAATGCGGAAGTAATTGTGGCAGTAGCAGCAGCCCCTGCCGATAGCAGGAACAGGAAGGAGAATGCCGCTTGCCAGCAGCAGCAGCAACGCAGCCCCCACTGGCGCTACGGTGTCTCGTTGCCTGCCGCTGCACACTGCTGCTGCTTGTGCTGCTGCGGCTGCTGCCCGTGATGCTGTTGCTGTGGCCGCTGCTGCTCGTGCTGCTGCTAACCCTGTAGGTGCAGCAGAGGAAGCTGCTGCTGCATTCCTGCGCTCTTCGCAGATGATAGCGCCTGCGTGTCGGCCCCTCCCAGCTGCCTAGTTCGTCTCTTTGAGGCTGCGGGCCTGCCTCTGCCGCCGTTTGCTGCTGCAGCAGCAGCAGCAAGAGCAGCAAGAGCACCAGGCGCAACAGGAGCAGCGACAGCAGCAGATGGACAAGGGCGCCGACGAGCCACAGGGCACCTGCGGGCGGCCGTGGGCGCGCAGCAGCAGCAGCAGCAGCTTTTGAGGGCGAATCCATACGACTGTCTTTTTTGTGTCCGAAAGCCACCAGCAGCAGAGTCAGCAGCAACAGGAGCAGCAGAAGTTGCAGGCCCCCCAGTGCCCACTCCCGCAGGTCGGGTGCGTGCTGCTGCCACACGACTGCTGCCTCACAGGAGACAGGTCCGCAGCGGAGCGGGGAGAGCAGCAGCAGGAGCAGCAGAAGTGACAGCAGCAGTTGAGCAGCAGCTGCCGCCCTTGAGCAGATCCGAGCTGCTGCAGCTGCTGCAGCTGCCGGCGCCCCTGCAAATGTGGGGCGAAGTTTTCTGCCCGCAGGAGAAGCGCTGGATTGCCTGTGTCTTCAAGGGGCCGCAGCAATCTGTTTATGATGCTGCTGATGTTTTGGCGGGACGCAGGCTGCCCACAGTTTCCCCTCCTGCTGCAGCAGCAGCAGACGCGGCTGCTGCAGCAGCAGGCTGCTACGCTCCGAGAGCCGTGGACGTTGCGCAGGAGACCCTGCAGCTGATTTTTCTCAGGCGCTGCTGCGTGGTGCAGCAGCAGCAGCTAGCTGAGCTGCGCAAGATACAGCAGCGGGCAAAAGAGCAGCTGTTGAAGCTGCAGCAGCAGCAAGAACTAGCTGCTGCAGCAGAGCGCAACGCCCGCTCCCTTACTAGCGGGCTTCTTCTTACTGCGAAACCCCCACGCTGCGCGGCTTCAGCAGCTCGAAATCGCAGCAGCAGCAGCAGCAGCAGTGACAGCGAACCTGACGCAGAGGGAGACGCAGCAGCAAGTAACCAAAACACCCATGGCGCTGAAGATTTGAAGACTGAAGGCATTTCGGAGTGCGCGGCCTCCAAACAAACACCAGCAACAGCAACAGCAACAGCAACAGCAGCAGTGCGCCGTTTTGCTTCCCCAGGTCAAAGGCGACCTCTCTACTGGGAAGCCGGGCAGTGGGGCATCCTTTTCTTAAAGCCGGATTACCTAGCTCTTTATGTGTTTCCCCAGCCGCAGCAGCAGCTGCAGCAGCAGCAGCAGGTGCTGCAGTCTCCCGTGCTGCGCTCGCTGCTGAAAAAAAAAAAAAAAAAAAAAAAAAAAAAACCACCTCAGCTGCAGCGTCTGCTGAAAGCTGCAGCAGATGCGACGGAAGGGGCCTCTTCTGAGCCCAGCAGCAGCAGCAGCAGCAGCTACAGCAGCAGTAGGCGCAGCGTCACGGCGGCGCCCCACGAGATGGCAGAAGAGGCCGCGCTGCTGGCTGATGAGTTTGCTGCTGCATGGAAGCAAAGCAGCAGCAGGAAAAGGGGCGCCGCGCAGCCCACTGGGGGACTTGGCTCTAGAGCTGCCGGAAGCACGGGCAAACGCAAGGCAGCAGCAGCAGCAGCTGGCGGCGGCGAACTCTTAGGCTTGGATTTCCTTCGCGCCCGCAAACAGGCACGGGGAGGCGCGCTGCTGCGGCAGCGGCATGCGCAGCAGCAGCAGCCGCAGCAGCAGCCGCAGCAGCAGAGGCAGCAGCAGCAGCCGCAGCGTAGACGGCCAGCAGATGGACTTCTCCCGGCAGCACAGCTTGCTGCCTCTAGCGTGTCAAAGGAATCTGAAGAAGGCCCACCGTGGGAATTTGCTGCACGGATCGCGAGCTCCAAGGCTGCTTTGCTGCAGCCGCAGGCGCAGCAGCTGCTGCAGCCGCAGCCGCAGCAGCAGCAGCCTCACGTTTCCGCCTTGGACCAACAAGGGCGCGACGCAGTCCGCTTTATTCTGGCAGTGGAGTCTTCAGGAGAGCTGAAAGACGTGACCCACAGATACGTTTCTAGGTGAGCGCTTTCGTTTTGCTGCTGCCATTCGGTGCTGCTGTCTGCTGCAGTTTCGTGCTGTTGGCTGCTGTCATTCTGTGCTGCTGGCTGCTGCCGTTCTGTGCTGGTGGCTGCTGCCAGTCTGTGTTCCTGACTGGTGCTAGGGGCAGAAGACGCTTGCTGCACAAAACTCAGAAGTGCTTCGGAGGCAGTTTTGCTGCAGCATTAGTTGCTAGGCCCCACCACCGTCTGTGGCGTTGGCTGCGCTGCTGATCTTGCTGCTGCTGCTTTTGCTTTGGGCCGGTTGCTGCAGCTGGCAGCAGGTGCTACAGCAGCGCGGCTCTCGGCTGCACCAGTGGTGGGAGAGCGACGCCGTGCGCAAGGCGCTGCGCCGCGGCGGCGCTGCAGCAGCAGCAGCAGCAGCAGCAGCACCA